CGCTTGAAATACATACCCTGCCGTCACACTTCTTGGAGGTGGCCCAGGTCTTAATTGTGTAACTCGATCATTTAATGACAATCTCTTTTTAAAAGCCTGGGAATTAAATTCTCATTCTTCACATTTTAGAGTTAAGACAATGGGGTGATTATCAACTTTGCACCTTAGGTAATAATTATTGTTAAGTTTCCCCGCTCTCTCGATGTCGAATGGGCGTTAATTAGCAAAATGATAGATAATTTTTCATGATTTATGCCACCCTTGAATTATTGTTTCTGTTTGTTAATGTGTTGTTCAGAGTATCAGTTTATATTTCAAAAGTTTAATGATCAGTAAGTATTAATGATAATGTACTATGACAACTATGGGAGAAAAGAGATTAGTATTGTTTACTCAACATGTACACATTTAATTGCATTATAGAGAATAGAAAATTGAAAATAAAAATAAATTGTGGCGACACGGTTCTATGTTATTTCGCAGTTCTAGGCTTATGTGAGGAAATAGCAAATACATCACTAACCACGCTATAGAATAATAAATATACTGGGTAAAACAAAATAAAATTTATTATCAGTATATGTACAGGGTGATCAAATATATTAGCAGAGGGTGTAAGAGAGCTGTAGACATGTTTATGAAACAATAACAAGCAAACGAGCTGCTTCCTATTGTACTTCATCATTAAGATGAATACAAGTTATACAAATGTTCCCAGACCTTATACTACATGAAATATCACTTTAGATTGTGTTTGGTCTAGCACACCTCTCAATAAAACATTAATAGATCACGGAAAATGCGGAAATGTTTCTTTCTTAATTGATTGCTCTATATTTTATGACTTTAGATAGTTTGTCCCCCGGGAACTTTAATTTGATCGAAAATTTAGAAAAGCTTTTATGATGACAAGCATTTGCATAAATCCCAATCTCCAGAATTTGTTAGAACACATTTGAGTCTGATTTCTTTCTGCAAAACATCTTGATCACTTTTCTATTTCTCTTGAAATAAAACAATCAAAGAGATAAAAACATACAACATTAATTGAGAATAATGCATGAATTGTGTGAAAATATAAGGGTCTTAAAATGTTTCCAATTTCCTCAAGAAACAGGGCAGAGGATACTTTTTGTCTCGATATTACTGCAAGGTAACACTAGTCTTAGCAATCAGAATTAGCAACTTTAAGACTATTATATCTCCACCTTTCACCTTTTTAGTGCATATTTTCTTTTTTCATTGAAATATGGTTATAATATGTTATTTTATTGAATTACACATTTATAGACAACAGCTGGGGAGCTAATATGACAGAGATCAGCTTAGTTGTAAATGTGAGAAAGAACATCAACAAGAACAGATTAAAAGAAGCTGAAACACATTAAAAGAATGTGATAGGTTTTATTTTTTATTTCATCAGACTAACACATTGAGGTTTTGGGTACATGGATTTATCATAACAATTTCATTCTATTGATTTGTCTTTGTACATTTGTCTTTATTGGAGGTTCTGTTTATTGTAAGGCCGGGCACATGAGCTATCTATTGGCACCTTATCTTAAACACACTTGTTCACTTGTACCATGGTTACATTTGACATTGTGGGAGTTGTGATTTCGCATATAGACAAAATTTGAATTTTCCTTTTCATACCCAAAGACAATCACTTTAAAAGGAAGTAGTAGAGTTTTAAGAGATATAAAACACAAGGAAGAGAAGTTTTTGTTATCAGATTTATTGTTTGGCTCTAATTTCACTAAATGTCCTTGTGACATTTAAAGATTAAGAAAGGAAATTTTGACAAATTGTATAGCTTTAAACTCCTTATTTCCCTTTGATATACATGTAGAACGTGGTATATAAGGAAGTGGCAATATTCCTTATGTATAAGTACCAAGGGGTTACAAGGCAAAGGTCTTAATATCAAGTACTTCAGGCTGTCAACAATTTGGTACCTGTACAAAAAGTAGTATGCTCACTGTGCCTTTCCTACCTGAAATGATTCACGATTTGTCTTGTGTTCTTTCCTTTTTTGTATGATATAGTATGTAGACTCATGCTTATTTACTTTATTCCTTGCTATTCTTAATAGTATTTCACTTAATTTTGCATTTTATATGAACACTATAATAGTCATTCAGAGGTATTGTAAAACACTTGTAAGTGTCAAGATGTAAAGAAACATGATAATACAAGAGCAGAACTCAAAACTTCCCTCTTTGTGAAGTTTCCTTAATTTAAAGTCAATCAATTTGAAAGAAATTCTAATTTCATGGTGCATGAACATATGTGGAATTAAACAGGTGATCTAGGTAGACCTGTTATCTTTTTGCTTTCTTATGAGAAATATTAAGTTCTTCATTGAGGTAACAAAATCTTTCAATGGCCGTTATAAATTTAAAAAATGAACGGATGGTACATCAGTGGAGAAAGTGTGGCCTATTCTGTTCATCATTGTTGGGGTTAATTTGTCATCAGTTTGAAAAATTGTTCGCTTGTATAGGCGTAACCAGTAATGGCAGAAAAATAAATAATAGGTCTACTGTTTTGTCAATAGGTCATATAAGCTATATCAGTTTTGTCACTTTCACTGAATGTAAATAAACATACACACTTGCCCTGAATGTTGACTTGTGGCCAGTCATTTATCAAATATTCAAAAATCTTTGAAGTTTCTTTAGTTGTCTTGTCCCTCCACTAATTTTTTGTAACATCAGATGTTATTTTTTATATGTTGTTATTTAGCATCAATAAGAAAAGACAGGTTTTATTCATTGACATTTGTAATGTATGAGTAAAGCGCACAAAAATCAGCAAACATATGCATTCTCAATAAAGAACATTTTTTGTTACTAATGAATTTGTGAAAATTAAAAGACATTTTCCACATTTCATAAACATGTAGGATTATAGGCATGGCAATAAATGTTCTGTTCTTTATGATGTTGAATTGCCCCACTGGATATGTTGTATAGGATGTTGAATTGCCCATGCGGCACAATATGTTTAATGCCCCACTGGATATGTTGTATAGGATGTTGAATTGCCCATGCGGCACAATATGTTTAATGCCCCACTGGATATGTTGTATAGGATGTTGAATTGCCCATGTGGCACAATATGTTTAATGCCCCACTGGATATGTTGTATAGGATGTTGAATTGCCCATGTGGCACAATATGTTTAATGCCCCACTGGATATGTTGTATAGGATGTTGAATTGCCCATGCGGCACAATATGTTTAATGCCCCACTGGATATGTTGTATAGGATGTTGAATTGCCCATGTGGCACAATATGTTTAATGCCCCACTGGATATGTTGTATAGGATGTTGCATTGCCCATGCGGCACAATATGTTTAATGCCCCACTGGATATGTTGTATAGGATGTTGAATTGCCCATGCGGCACAATATGTTTAATGCCCCACTGGATATGTTGTATAGGATGTTGAATTGCCCATGTGGCACAATATGTTTAATGCCCCACTGGATATGTTGTACAGGATGTTGAATTGCCCATGTGGCACAATATGTTTAATGCCCCACTGGATATGTTGTATAGGATGTTGCATTGCCCATGCGGCACAATATGTTTAATGCCCCACTGGATATGTTGTATAGGATGTTGAATTCCCCGCACAGCACAATATGTTTAATGCCCCACTGGATATGTTGTATAGGATGTTGAATTGCCCATGCGGCACAATATGTTTAATGCCCCACTGGATATGTTTTAAATGAGTTAACATCAAGAAAATAATGTGAAGGAAATTCTGAATTTTACAGATATTTACCCAAAATTAAACATTTAAAATTTTGATTCAATAAATCCTATCATTCAGAATTGCTGTGATGTATTTTGTTGGGGGTTATCCCAAACCGTGTTGTTTGTCACTTATATTTTGTTATCAGTATTAAGCAATTAGATTATTCTCTTTTGTGAAGCATGGTGATGATCTGGATATGCCGCTCAGTAACTGTTCATGTTTTCATAGTATGTTTTATGCTAAATACATGAATTTTACTATTGTGTGTAGCATTGATGCATGATTTGTGGGAAAGTCTGCCCATTCATATATTTAATGAAAGGAATTCCCATTCGTGTCGACCTTTAAAGTCATCAACTCATCAGGATCATTGTCACCAGTAATCAATTGTTCTTTTTATGATGTCATAATTGAACCATTTCTGGTCAGATCTGTAAATGTCACACATGATAAGTTAATTATCACCTTACACCTGAGGTTAGGTCAATATGACAAACTAACTTATGTGTGGAAATTCATAAAAGGAAACATATTAATTTGTGTCATTTTAACTTCAGGATTCTTTTTGTTTAACAGATAAAATAAAAAGTATACATATATTATACAGCCATAATAAACAGGATCTCCATGATGAATAGGATTTGTGAAATATCAGTTTAGCTCCTGAATTGAAATGAAAAGAAATGCGTTTAGCAATACAGTTGATTAAATATTGTATGAATAGATAGCAAGTACTTTGTCTTTATGTGTTTACTGTTGACTTTTATGTCTTTCAATGTTGATTCAAGCTGCAATTTTTTAGCAGCAAATCTTTCGAATACTTAATCTACCTTTGTTGTCTATTCAGAATTTATTTTTGCTTATTGATATATCATTTTTCAGAGCAATCATAAAAACAGTTTGAAAAATTGCCAGTGGTTTACATTGTTGACTTTTAAAAAGACAAACACAATTACATGTATTTACCTAGAAACCCTTCACAGTATTTAAATTTGTTTTCCAAGCATACATTTTCTTAGAAAATGAGGATTTTCCTTGAAAAAATAATTGCCCACAAAACATCACAACAAGCAGTATGCAATTTACCCCAAATTAACATGTGAAACATTGTTCCAAGTCGTACATTGAATACCCCCTCCATCCCGGATCTCCATCCAGAGACTTAACAAAAAATAAACCCAAGATAAAATTAATGATTTCAAAATCAACTTATTTTTGTATTTTCAGAGAGTTCTACTACATTCAGATGGAGAAGTATGCCAGACAGGCATTGGCTGAGGGAGTGAAGAATGCAGAGGATCTCATCGTCACCACAGACTCTGAACTCTATCGCGTTCTCAACCTTCATTACAATAGGAACAACCAGATCGAGGTATGTCTTTGAGGAAATTTGTCTTTTGTTTGTTTGTAAGTTTTGAATGAATTTCCAGTAATCTTGACCTTTTGACAGCTTTCTCAATCTAGGTGGGCATGAAACAAAGAAAGTGAACCAGAAACTATTCATGATTGATTGTTGGGATGGTTAGAATTGATTGATTGGTTGATTGCTAGGTTTGTGAGTTAATGTAGGATGTGGTTGTACACAAAGTAAGGAAACATGACATCTACTAGCCTGGTTGTATGTATTATCTTCACTTTCTGATTCTTAATTGATTGTCACTGGTACTTTTAGTTGATTTCTTTTGATGATATTGCTCCTTTATTGTAAAACAGACGTTTTCATTGGTTTGCCAATTTAGAATATCAGTTTTGGATCTTGTTATTATGAAAGCCTTGATGAAATATGAAGAACATTCATAGGAATGTTATGCCTAAAACTGCAACAGTATAATCTTGCTTTTATGAATGCAAATACCTTTTAGGCAAATTACTATAGTCCCCTATTTGTCTTACTATCATATAAAATATTTATGATCTTGTTTCATTCTCATATCTTCTTGATAAATCACCAATATTGGGAGTGTGCATGGTGAAATGCATCATGGGAGATAATGATGCTGTGTGGAGTATCTGATTTTTTAATTGGTAACTTTTCAATATCATTAAAAATTTATAGGTAAATTATAAGGGAAAACATTTACTATGTAGGAATCAATATTGATTTAGGTGGGTTTATTTTTACAAGACCATTTGCAGATAATACTGGCTCACATATGTCTTAAAGAAACATACATTATCTGTTTTTCTTTAAAGGGACAGTCTTTGCTAAAATAATATAGTGTTCATTAATGTTTTTCCAAAGCGTGCAAACCAAAGAACGAAGAAGACAAGCGGTGTAATTTGAAATATATAAGGGTTATGTACTGGGAGGTTTTGGATACAGGTTTTATCCCAAGGGAAACATGTGTATATCCTGAGGGACCGCAGGGACCGAGGGATATACACATATTTCCCGAGGGATAAACCCTGTATCCAAAACCGACTGTACATAACAGATGTATTTCATACCTACTGATGTTCTAGGTACGTCATATAGCTTATAAAGTTCCAAAATTCAAAAATATACTTAATATACACATTTTCTTGGTGTTATAAAGTGTTTTTTAAGTTTCTGAGATTTTCAAACTCATATAACTCATATTTAAAAAATAAAATTTGAAAAAAATGTGAAAAACATTTTTTGAAAAAAATGTGAAAAAAAATTTGAAAAAGAATGTGAAAATTTTTTTTGAAAAAATGGGAAAAATTTTTGTGAAAAAAATTTGAAAAAAATTCAAAAAAAATTTGAAGAAAAAATATTTTTGAAAAAATTGTGAAAAAAAATGTCAGCAGCGGGACCGGGATGGATACAGCGTGTATCCATCCCGCCCCGGGCCTTGGCTAGATAAAGTATATATTCCCGCTCGTTATGTACCTAGAACCTCAGTAGGTATGAAATACACAATGATATTTCAGAGTTTATTTGATAGAATGATATACTTATTACTTTTTATTGGTACAAATACATGGCTTTATATATATATATACATATATTCATATTATGATGCTTTATATAATTGAATTAAAACAATGCATAACCAATTCATGGAAATCAAAGAGATTCCAAAAAATCCTGTTAATCATTTCATTGATCAGTAATGCAGTTAAATACAGCAAGTGGTGGAATAGTTTTTACAGGAGGGTAAACCAAACAGCTTAAGAGCAACTTCTCTTCTACTCTTAATTGTTTTTCTTTTGTATTTCACCCATAGAAAAAGGAAACAGTGTTAATAAAGATCAGTGTAGTGGTGTCAGTACCACTTTTCATTCCTTACAATCATTTACAAACTGCATATCATTTTTATTTATTATTAAAACTTCTGCAAAATAAGAACATTTCTTTCAAACCTCATAATCATTGAACACATCCGTGTTTTCTGGCTCAGAATAATATACGGAATATTGAAACTCCATTTAAGTTTTCAAGAAAATTGAAAAACAGATTATGTCATTGAAAGGTTCCAACTGATATCAATAGTTTGTAGAATCTTATTGCTTATTCCAATGCTATTACCTACTCGACTTTAAAAGTAATGCTCCTATTGAATAATTAATATCAGTTAAAAATCTGATGGATTGGTATTGTTAAGGGCTATCTAAGGAAACGAAGGGAATCTTGTAAGAGGTGGAGGTAATGGGGGTTAAAAGTCTGTCTGTTTGTCTAGCTCTCATTCTCCTTTACTTAGCATGTCATCCACAATTGCTTCCATTACCAGGAACACCTCGAGATTACCAGATTTGCTACTTACACTAGGAGTCAATACCAATATTACAACATTTGAATAGATCAGGTTCTTATTAAAATAAAATGTTGAAATTTGATAGAAGGTCAATAAGAAAAGCAAGCAGTATTAATGGGTGAACAGGTCGATACAAACGACTTATGATAGATTTATGAATCCATTTCTACCATTGTATAACTATTTCTTACATATCTTATGTTGTATTCGCCATCATACTACGACTCATATCAGCATTCTGTCAGTCTTCCATGATAATGACTCAATCTTGAACATTTTTATTTGCAATAGGCACACTTTTATAATGCCAATATTTAAATTGGTAGGTGTCTATTTGCAAAATACTCTCAAATTGTTTTGCTTTACCTGACCAGAGTTAATGCATAGTGCTGTTTGTCTTGGGGATTAACTTTTGTCATGTGAACACAGAAATCAAACATCTCTCAGGTTTTAGGTTATAAGAAATGTTTAGAAATCATATCACAATTAAAGAAACTATTATCGATAAATATCACAATGCCATTTATTGTGTTTGTCAATTGTCTTGATTGCATTAACTATAACTAAAGCTAACACTACAAGTAATACTTAGAGTCCCATACATCCCATCACCTTACCAAATGTTATGTCACCTTTTACATTTTGTAAAAATCAGCCAGAAACAAAACCAGCTCAAAGCTCTATAGTTCCAGCTACCTGCAATGTTAGCTTTATGAGTATTGACCATTTTGTAAGCAAACATTTGTCTTAATCTGGTGTTACAGAAAATCTAATAAAACATGTAATAATTGAGAACAAAGATCAAAGTATCTCAGAGGAGACAAGTGAGAAGTTTGACAAGCATGCCTCTGAATATATCAAACTATGGACATCAATTTTCCTAAAGATTAAATCACAGCTAGTTTCTGAGGATTCTAAAAATCTTTGAAAAGGATATATAGCTTTGTTTTGGTGAATTGTTGTAAATAAGATACTTGGGCCACATATTTGCTTTCATTATTTTGCCTGTGTGTATTTGTTCTGGTACGTGTACCATTTAAGAGAATTTGTCTCATCAGTCATAGTACAATGTCTCTGGTATGTAATATCATGAAGTATTCATAAGATACATTACTTGCTTTTTACAATGGTTCTAATGTAAATGAAACAGATATCCATCAGACAAGTAACTTAATGGAAGAAGATATGGTTGAGATTAAATCAAATGTTGTATGTCATTGGTTATATGAATGTGTGTGTGTGTGTTATTCAAATCAATCTTTTCCACTCCTTCTCTCATTTGTTCCACTCCCAGAAAACTTTTCAAAGACACCGAGATATCGTTTTAATGGAAGGATAAAGCAGTTGTTGCTGGCATACAAAAGAAATTAATAATAGGAAATATAGATGATGCAAACCCTTCCAAGCATTTCAATGTTCATTTCATAAGAGGATCACTTGACCAGAAAAGATTGAAATATTGATGGGTGGCAATTTTTGAGATTCATAACTTCCTGTGCATGATATTCTTTCTAATTCCTCCCTTTACTTTCCTGTTATATGGGAGAATACTTCAAAGTTGATATTCTATCGAAGAGTATGAAGTAGAACTGTATTAACCGGTTAAACCAAGTGGAAGAATATGTTTGCGTGGCAATCTTTCAATCGGACATCACGGCTATATAGTGAGACAATCCCTGTTACTCACAAAAAATAATTACAGTTCTCTAATTTTGATTAGATATTCATAAAAAAAGTAATTTGAAAAATCAGGAATTGGAGGATAAAAAACCAACTGTCTTCCACTTAAGGGATCGAGGGATGGAGATATGATTAAATTCTCCTTTGTAGGCATTCCAATAAGAAATGTCATTTTTCAAAGAATCGGAAGCTAATACCCATATTTACATTCCATTTTCTGATAACGTGGATTGTAATCCAGGGAGACATTTTAAGTATCTCCGCATATTGTCTCATGCACTTGATCCATCTTAGACAATCATCATAGACGGGAAAGTAAGATGAAATCCTATATCCTCTAATCTAGTTGATTATTAAAGCAAATGGAAATGATAACAACTGAAATTAAACCGTCACTTTACATATGTTTTTGTTGCTGAGGCTAATGGAGTTCATAGTAGATGGACTCCTAACGATGTTACATAGATTTATAGAACTTACAAGATATCTCCCTCTGGCTCTTCATGATCACAAATCATTCTGATCTTCACTACTCGAAAAAGAATATGCTTTTTTATGCGCTCTTAATTGAGATAGGGTCATGTTTGCTCTTAGTATGCCTCATAAAAATAATAGACATTTTTGCAATTGGGTTTGATGTCCCATCCAGCAATTAATCATATCCTTTGTCTTTTATCTAACAACTCTCGTGTAAAATTTCTTTATAATGGGATTCATTTTCATATCAAGGAATATAACAATTAATGTAAGAATATCAACAAATAATGTGTTGTCTATATGCTCTCATAGATAGAACACAGAGGTGCTGATTATTATGTTTCAAAAATTGTAAAAAGTTATTTTAGCCACATTAACTTTCTCATTATATGCAATCACCTAAGCAATTAATACTCTGTGAGATGGAATTCAAACATTTTAAAATCAAAATTGATTTTAAGTTTTATTTTATTGTTTTTTACCCTTGAGACTTAGA